CACCAATTTCTCTAAATGAAACACTATCTACAGATTTCCATCGAAGCGTTTCTTATGATAGTGATTTTAATCACTGTCAAATATCATTTATACTTGTCCCATCTATGCCTTGTCTACACTGTGCCTCGACCCAACTGTGCTACCGTTTTTTCCCTTAAAACTGCCATAACTTTTTCAAAACTGAACAAATAAAAATAATATTTTTTTGTATTGAAACCTTAGATATTTCCCTTTCATTTGATATAATTTTTTTTGAAAATCTAACACTTATTCTGCTCACTGGGGGGATTTAAAATAGTAACTTTTTTACAAAAAATAACTTTTTCAACTTAATTTTTGAAAATGTTCCGGAAATACTGCGTCCTTTAAACATATATCAAATTAAAGCTTATTTTATGTACTATAAAATGAAAAAAAAAAATTTGTCCCGACACTTTTTCTTCTACATTTAAACGGCTGCCGTAGTTAAAAAAACACTATTTTTGTGTTAAAATTTTCGATTTTCGATTTTAAATTTTCAACTTAAAAATGCTATAACTTTTTGAAAAATGTATATATCAGCACAAATTTTTTTTTTCTAAATACATTATAAGTACATCTTTCATTTGACATACTTTTTATTAAAATTGGACAATTTCCCCTTATATAGGGGGCGTTCAAAACTTAAAATATTGTAAAAAACATAGATCTTTTTCAACTGAACTTTTGAAAATGTTCCGGAAATACTGCGTCCTTTAAACATATATCAAATCAAAGGTTATGTTATATACTATCAAATGAAAAAAAAAAATTTGTCCCGACATCTTATCTTCTATGTGCAAATGGCTGTCGAAAATTTAAAAAAAAATGTAATGTTTGCGATAAAAATTACATTTTATCGGGATGTTTTTTGTACTTAAAACTGCCATAACTTTTTCAAAACTGGACAAATCAATATAATTTTTCTTTAATACATGCATAATGTCCTTACATATCATTTAATATATTTTTTTTATAAATTTGATCCTTTAACTGCCCAAAAGGGGGATTCAGAATGACGACTTTTTCACAAAAAATTAATTTTTCTAAGTGTTCCGGAAATACTGACACTTTTATATATATTTTAAATTAAAGATTATGTAATAAACTTTATTATGGAAAAAAAATTTCGGACTTTATTTTATCTTCAGGGTAAAAATGACTACCGTATGCTATTTTTGTATTAAAATTTGTTATAATACATACACCACTCATTATTCAGAAGTCTATATCTTATTGTATATTAGTCATCAAATTAAAAATATAATATTCATGTTAATACTTTAAACTATTCCAAGAAATACGTCTAAAAATACATTGATATTAATTTATTGTAATAATTATAAGAAATTCTTTAGTTGTTACAAATTATCTATTTTAAGTAAAATAATGTGTAATAAATAACACAAATTGAGTAATAAACAGATAGTAGTAAAAGGTCGTGATACTTCTTGCATAAATAGATGGATTAAATTTAATGTAAAAGGGTATAAAAACTGTCAATCTCTCTCACTACTACTTCACCTTATGAACTTTCAACGGATGCAAGAAGTGGCTTGACAATATACGATTTTACATAGAAAATTGAAGTATATTCATTTTTTCAACATTAGTCCTGATATCATTAAGGTAAATTCATATTCTACAAAAGATCCATAAGGTTTAAAGTTAAATATAATGAGTACATAAATTAAGTAGGAAATCGGAAAAAATAAAGTGATCTCTAGAATAAAATATTGTCTAAATAAATAAAGAAAATCAATAACGTTTGTACAAAGTTAGCCAGCCTAGTCTAATCTTTGAGTGGGTTACCTGTGTAGTCAATACTAATAAAGACTCTCTTGCGAAGATAAAGAACCTACTTGTGGTTCCTATACTACTCGAGGTATTTATTGACTCGACTCACAGATAGCACAAGCCTAGATAACTACTGGTACGAGTGGCGTTGTTGATGATCTATGTGTGATAATTAATCACAATGATTTCTATTTCAAATTATTATTATATTAATCAATGCTCAAACATCACTTTGCTTTTCTATATTTTACATCTTTTCATAAACCCTCGTACTCATATCCCGAGAGAAAATTATATTATATCATTTTTTATTCAATAAATATTATAGTAACTTAATTATTCTCATGCTCATACAATATCAACAATTAACAATTGAAAATTAATTAATTTATAATTCTATAACTTTTTGAAAAATGAATGGATCATTATATTATTTTTGAGATAAGTACTATTTATATTTATATATTATTAATATATATATTTATTCATATATTACACTTCTTAATCATAAAACTTGTAATCAGGATGTTAATAAGGAAATAGCAGATCATGTAGCTTTTGAAATAATCCATTCATTTTTTTTAAATTAAACTATCTAAAAGATTTGCATCGAAGCGTTTCTTATGATAGTGATTTTAATCACTGTCAGATATCATCTATGCTGGACCTAACTATGCCACGACTCCACTATGACGCCACCCCACTGTGCTGGGGTTTTTATAATAATATTAAACACTACATAATTGTTATTTTAAGATAATACACATGATTAATGATGAATGAGTTAAGATTACTGTACAGTATTATAAATATTATGACAGATAAATTATTTATTTGTATACATTTATTAAAAATACAGATTATAAATTATTTTTTGATAAATATAAGATGTATAGTAGTGCAAAGCATTAGGGATATTACGACAAAATACAATTTTGAGCTGATAATAACCATACAAAAAAGACAATAAATGTTTTTATATTAGTATAACATGATTGATGGGAATGCATGTGTCCATATGCTACCTGTTAGTAATTTTCAGCTTTTTCATTCAAAATTGTGTATATTACATTATTTTATTTATTTTTAATAATAATATTCAAGTACCCAGCATACAACATATCAATCTGTATATAAAAATTTCATATACATAACAAAGTAAATCAACTTTTTCCATTTCATTTTTATTCGTTTCCCCCAACCTAATTTTAAACACTTTAATTTGTTATGAATTTTTTAATATAACGCAATAAAATTGTTTTATTATTTACTCATACTAAAGTTAAAATCTTACGCTGTAAGACAACAGTGTTTTATGGTTTCTGTAAAAAATATAGAATTACGATATGAAATAAACAAGTGTTCATTTAAATTATTTTCGAAAAATTTGTCATTGTGTAGTTAGTATATTTAAAAATATTTTTATAAAAACTTTTCAGGCATTATTATATAGTTTTTAAATCTATTTTCGAAAACCGCAAATTTGATTCGCTATCCCTTATATTTGTTTTTAATGGGGAATTGTAAAATCATTCAAGTTTATATAAAACTACATAAGAATTAATTATACTATTAAATGCTAGCAATAAATAGTTGCATTTCAATTTTGTTACTAATGAGATGTTTTGACATAGAAATATCTCAATAGAATCTAGTTCTCAATGAGTACTAGGTTATTTTCAAAACCAACACGATGTCAGCAGAAGATGAATTAGGGCTCTAAGCAATATAATAACATAAGTTACCTGAATTAGTTACTTTTTTGTTAAACTTCTACACAAGAAATAGTGCAAAAGAGTGTACACTTGGATTTCAAATTATATGGAATACATGTAACATTATTTTAATATTAAAAAATTTTAAGTAAATATATACAAATTGTAAGGTTTCGGCCAAACAGAGGGCCTACTAATTACCCACTGCCCAGGGGGAACACTGGACAGTGACCTAGTAGCCGCGCCAAACAAGATAGTACTTGCTGACGGAGCTACTAGGTTTTGATAAAAACAAAAAAAAAACAAATATTAATAAAAATGAAGGAAAAGTATAGGGAGAAAAATAAAAGAGGCCATGAATAATATAATAACATTTTTTTATAATTATTATTTTAAATATATATCTTTTCATAAAGGGAAGAATAATAAAAAAAAAAGGAAGCAAAAATAGTAGATTATACTAATAGGTGCTATATTAACAAGATTAATAATGGGTAGAACAGGGGGGTTTTACGTTATACTTGTTATTGGTTGAGTTGCGGAGTGATGGCCCACCACTGGCCATAGTTGCGCCTCACATCACAATCATCATCATTATCACCATTTCGACGTTTTGTTTAAAAAAAAACGGAGGACAAAAAAAAATATGAACAGAAAACGTGGTTTTCACAGCAAAAATTATATAGAACACACGACTTGTCGCCTCGGTGGTATAGGTGGAAAAAAAAAATCATTGTCGCGGCATTTGAATAGTGACCGGTGATCGTGACGCCGGGTGGTGGTGGTGCCAACTTTGAACACGTTCATTGAGGGGACATTACAATATTGGTACAGGTGCACAGTGTACGGTCAGCTGATGATGACAGATATCGGACTGGTTGACAAGTGGAGATTATCATATACAAAATTATTAAAATACTTTACACCTACTGCACACACATCTAATTGATAAGATTTAAATATATAAAAAAAACTCGTATAAATTCTGCAACATTACAAAATATATAAATTTAATATTTCTTTATATTATTTGAAATTTTAATAACTGGCGGTATAAATATTAAGTTTAGACTACAAATTTTAAAGTATTCATATTTAATTTATTTTTTTAATATTTCCAAAATTTGAAATATTTTTTAAAAACTTAGTAGAATATTTTATTGTTATACTACAAATTCCTTATTAAATAAAAACATCATAAATAAATGATAAAATAACTCTTTGAAGACATAATTAAATTATAATTATTAAAATATCTAAATATTTGCTATCTAAATTCAAAAAAACTTAACTTAGATGAGTTTTAGATAATCATTTATAAAGTAATTGAGCTAAGATAAAAATTAAAAACATAATTTTATATTTATCTAGATAAAATTCCAAATATTTATTTAAATTTTGATAGTAATTATTTTACCAAGTGACTCATGGAAGAATTAATACTATTTCAATTATGCTTTAATGCTTAAATTAAACTAAACAATAAATTTATTTGATAAGAAATATTTATTTAAAATTAAATATTATAATGATTTAATTATTTTTGCATTATTATATATTTTTTCGATATTTTGACATAAAACAAAATGGTATTTATAATTTTTAAAAATTAAATTTTTAGTATTTTTTTTTTCTAATAAAAATTATATTTTTCAAATTTTCTTTGTGTATTATTGTAGGCTTGGAATGTTTTGTCTTCTAACTGTCTAAAAACTGTTGGAACATTTCCAAAAAGACTTTTATCTTTAGGATCAATATCATCAAAATTGTATCTAGAGATAACACATTCACCATTAATACAACGGGGTAGGAAATTAAAAATCAGCATTGAATCATCAGTAGATTCTACCAACGCAATTATTTCACAAAACTTATTCTCATTGTTTTGACACATACGATTAGAACTCATTGCTAAAATCATAAAATTTATTATTTAGTATATTTCAAGTTATATTTATGATTTCAAGTTTAGTGCTGGTGTTTCGGTAACTATCGCTCCGAAGATGAACTTTGCAATGAGTTCGAAACGTCAGCACATAATTAAAGACAAATCTATAAACATTTTATATAATAGAACAATCCAAGGCACATTAGCACGTTCACTGAAATTTAATGTTCATAATAAAAAAATTATATTTAAATTAGTTTTGATTTCAGTTATTGAAAGGTTAGTCGAGGTGCATTGTATGGAGTGAATTTAATTCGAGAATCTATTAAGTAACTCAACATTTTTGTTGCAATGATAGAAGATGAACTTTGAAAGTCATTTCATTAATTCTTATTATAATATTATAAAGAACTTGTTTAAATCAAAAAACTTCCTTTGAGCTAATATTTTTTTTTGTATAAATAAATAATTAATAATCAAAAAAAAAAATTATTTTATACAAGATATATTTTATACATGTTTAAAAATACAAAAAAAAATGGTTTGTAAAGAGGCATTTTATTCTTAATTCACGCAATTTATTTTTAAGTTTTTTAGTTTAAAATTTTTTTATATATAGTTTTAGTCAATATAATAACAAAATAAAATATTTGGTTGAAATTGTTCAAAGGTAGTGTACTCATAAATTATATGATTATCTATACTATTTCATTTGGATGAAACTCTCAATCCTTATTTTACTCACTTATCTAGAGGTTATTTTAAAATTTAGTATTCTTTTATCAGGTTAAATAGTATTCTTCAAGGAACATTTCGTCAAAAAAATATGTTTTTAGTATTCTATTTTCTTTTATTATAAGGCAACGATATAAAAATTATCAAAAAAATAGATAAATATTTAGCTAAAATGCTTTGTGAATTAAAATAAAAAATCTTGGAAATGCCACTAAAAACTATAATTTACTTATAAACATCAATAGATATGAAACTTACCAACTTTGTTTTTTAAGTAATTTTTAAATATTTGATTCATGATAAACTTTCGATTAAAAACTTCTTCGTCATATGATGCTTAAAAAAAAGTATTATAAATAAATGAATAAATAATATTTAAAATAAAATAATTGAATTTAGGTTGTCTATCTATTGATGGGTAATTGAATGATTTTGGCTCAAAGAGCTCTACCGAATAATACATTCGGTAGAATACATTCTTGATAATACATCAAGACTCATTGTTATATAAGATTAATATCTAAATTAAAAAAGGAGCAAAACAAAAAAATATATAGAATATATCTCAGAAAATAAATCAACCATACCATTAGTTTCAAAAATAAATTGTTACTTAGATCTAAAAGACTTATTCAATATGATATCGCGTTTTATAGATTGATTTATTAGGCATACTACTTTAATTATTTCTAAAGATCGATTTTAGAAGTAACTTTCGAAGGATAAATAATAACCTATTATTAGAATTAATTAAACTGTTAAATAGTTAATAATATAAATAAAATTTTAGCAGGTCGAAATATTAATATTTAAAGTTTTAGAAATGGTAAGAGACGAGGGTGATGTTTAGCCAAGTTCTATTTTTACTATAACAACATGATGGACTAATAAAATTAATAACTGAAAAATTAATAATAGGATACTGGTTATCGGCTAATGTACATTTTATTTAGACCATTCTCTATTTAATAGTAAAATAATAATAATAGGTTACTACTTATCCTTTGAAATTTACTTCTAAAATCTACTCTTAGGGATAACTTTTTTCTTACAATAAACTTCACATGTATAATGGTTTATAAAAATAAATATTAACTAACTATCCTGTAGTATCTTGGTCAATATAATAATTAAAATTTTATTTATATAAAAAAAATGTATTTCATTATGTAATCTTTGAATAATAAATAATGTAGTTTCATTTCTTTTGTAAAATAACTTGCTTCAGTGTAGTGTAATTTTATAAATATTTATAATTTTGAGTTTCAAAGTAGAAGCCTACTATCTTAAATCATCACAATTTGAAGTTTTAATATAAATCATCAATTATTTAATAAGTAATAATATTATTAAACAATGATATCTAATTAATACTTCAGTATTATTCATCTATTTATAAAATAATATTTACTATCCTAATTCTTTTTTTCAAATCTAGGAATGAAAGAAGATAATTATTTATATTATAGCATTTTGTGTAATTTTAGTTCTGTTGTTTCATACTAAATAAAATTACATTATTTTTATATAATCCTTTAAGGTTTGCCGAATAAAAGGTTAATTTCAGTTTTTATTTTGCATATTTACCATACAAATTAGGAGATATATCTGAAAATTTAAAATATTTTATTAGTTAAATTTAAAACCATTGCATAGTACAATAATTAGATTATATATAAATCAATATTAACTAACCTGAATTGCACAAATCACCTAACAAAAAAATTTATAATAATTTTAAAAAAGATAATTAGTTAGATAATTTTGTGTGTATTTTTATTTTTTAAAACAAATATTTGTGATAGAAAAACAAATTCACTCAATTATAAATACATAGTTGTACTTAAAATTTAAAAATTGTATGTTTCCTATCAAATATTAATAATTATGATCAAAAACTTAATTGGAAAATCACCATAATCTTTATAAATTTTTTCTTCTTTCATATCGTATGCATCTAATTTCTCATATGATTCTTTTATTACTTGAACATCTAAAAATATTTTTTAATTTGATGAAATATTTGATTGGAACTTATAGATTTTATCAATCATGCATTACATTTTAATTTATCCCAATGGCATTTCAGGGATTAATAAAATATTTACTTGAAGTTATAATGTCAAGTAAACACATATTAATACTTAAAACATATTATTGTCGTGTTATTATTAGGTTTGCGGTGGACAAAATTGTTGAACATTTATAAATTGAAATTTATGTGATACGCAATATTTGATTTTAATTGTAATTACTTGTATCATCCCTCTTTAGAGTTACAAAATCTATAAAAATAAATAATTCAGAATAAAACACTGTTTAATTGTTTAGAATTACAACATTTGTGAGCAGGACAAATACGTGCTGACAATTTTGCGTCAGAGAATAACTTAATTGAAATGCACATGTGAGTATACCACAATATGTATTTCAATACAGTTGGTGTCAACATTTTCAGATAAATATAAATAGCTATGGCTAAATATCTCACTGGCACACCTTACTCTAAAGTAGAAATAGTATTTATAATAGCGATAATAATATAAAAAATTACCTTCTCTTAAAAAATAATGTGCTAATATATCTAAAACAAAATGAGTAGTTAAGTAAATGTATAATACATTTTCAAATTTATTATGAAATTGATACGATCACATTTGCATGTGCCCATATCTCTGTCTCCCATAACATCGTTGTACCGTTTAATAGACATATATATATAAATATATAATTAATACAGTGACATACAACAATACTAACAGGAGGGCGGACTGCACACATAANCAATACTAACAGGAGGGCGGACTGCACACATAAACACTTTTTGCAATTCACGGCCAATGTGCCATAATAAGATATCCCTATCGACAGTTGACATTTTACCATCTTCGTGATCACTACTTTTGCCTGATAATTAACTTAACTTTGCTACCCCGTATATTATAGTGTGTGCGTGTGTCGCCGTCAGCTCCCTGTTGGATTATAACATCTCTAGGTGTCCAGCAGGTTGTATTATCCATTTAATATTTCAATTGCTTAATAAATATTTATTTATATCGTTGTTAACCTAAAGTGTTATATATATATATTGTAGTGCGACCCTTGGTAGTTCCTCTAAGGGAATATAAATTAAATAGGAAACTTCAGTACCTAAGGTAGATATAGCCTAGCCAGCTATCCCCCGTTGGTCTCTTAGAATACTGTCGACGGGCATTTAGGCTCAAACCCTAAATAGCGACGTAACAAAATGCTATACATAATTTTTAAATAACTATAAAATTAGCAATGAATTTTTACATGACTTTGTTATCAAACATTTTTAATTTTATAAAAAATCAATAGAATAATTTGACAATAACCAATATCAGTTTAAAGTTAAGTTTAGTTATCATATGTCAAAAGACATTTATTGCGTTCTTTAGAAAAAATGTGTTTTTTTTTATTAAATTCTAATTTGTTCCAAACACTCATTTTTGTACTAAAAGTAGTAGGTACTTTTTGAGAATAATAATTATTAACAAATACCTTAGGACATACGAGTTTGCAAGGTTATAAATCGTTGCATTTCATGGCACCCCCCATTTAAAATAATAAGTAATGGAAATAAATACATATATTTTTTAGTGTCGTACTACTATATACGACAATAAATCAAACTAATACTATCACTATATAGAGTGTTCAGTAAATAAGAAAACGCATTTCTATTGTTCTCATTGTTTATAACAACTGATCTGTTTCTTTACTTACTGAATACTCTGTATACTATATATATCTATATATATATATATATATACACATACTCTATACTAATACTATAATATATAATATTATATATTATATAAGATACTTACCATACGTATTATTATCAAGAATATGTTTAAATACTTCTGCGTCTTTTCCTAAAACGTAACAATATTTTTAAAAGAGAATATTATAATTTTAATAAGTATTACAATATAAAAATATTCCTAGCTCAGTGTTGCAGTGAGATTCATATTTTTAAGATCTTATAAAAAGAAACTTTTTTTAATATGGGCTTAAAATAATTTATTTAGCTTAAAAAATAGATTATTTTAATCATTTAATCTTTAAAAATAAAAATAAAAATATTTTTATTATCTGTTGCTTTATCAACAAAAATATATTAGTTTTTGATCCATCAATAATATTAATTTAATTATTTGTATTATAAGTATACTATTATTATTTTATTTGATTTACCGGCGTCAACAATACACTTAAGTAGTGCATCTGAAATTAATAATAATATTAACTATTATTAGTGTAATCAAATAAAAAATTTAAGTGAATTATCATTATGATAAAATAAAAATGAAATATACAGTTACGTACATTTTGTTTCGGTCTCGGAGTAGACTGTATAATAAGTTTACTTTTAACTGTTTAACTAATAAGAACAATATAAAACTCAAAACTTTTAACTTGGTTTATAATACTTTATTTTGTATACACATATTGGCGTGAGCATCGTGTCGTCCTTTAAGATGACGAGTTCATCGTTACACTACTATAAATACAATACAAGTAACCGGTACGCACCGGACAAACACGCTTATCTGATACCANGTACGCACCGGACAAACACGCTTATCTGATACCATAATAACATACAAAAGAAAAAAACCAGCAAAGGGGAGTCGCGGCACAGTGGTGACGTGGTATAGTTGGATCAAGTATAATAATATCTGACAGTAATTAAAATCACTATAAAAAAAAAGCTTCGATGCAAATCTTTAGATAGTGTTTAATTAAAAAAAATTGATGGATTATTCCAAAAGCTACATGATTTGCTATTTTCTTATGAATACCCTGAATGAAAAAGGGATTATTAAAAAATATTATTTCTCAAAAAAAAAAATTATGTTGATCCATACACTTTTCAATTAGTTATAGCATTATAATGTTAAAAATGTAAAAAATAAAAACGAGATTCGGTAGCCATTTTCACCACTGAAGACAAAATAAAGTCAGAAATTTTTTTTTTCCATGATAAAGTATATTATATTAGCTTTAATTTAAGATATACATAACAATGTCAGATTTTCAAAAGTCAAGTTGAAAAAATTAATTTTTTGTGAAAATGTTGTCATTTTAAATCCCCGCCTGTGGGCAGGTAAAAAGTTAGATTTATAAAAAAAATATACCAAATGATAGGTAAAAGACATCATGCATCTATAAAGAAAAATTATATTTATTTGTCATTTTTTGAAAAAGTTATGAAAGTTTTAAGTAAAAAAAATTGAAAAAATTATGAAAATTAGTGATTTTTAAATTTGTAATTTTTCGGAGGTTTCCTCCATTTAAGGGGAACGAGGAAATTTTTTTCAATTTTTGAGGGTAATGTCTTCTACTAGATACGTTTTGAGATATTATGACGTATCATTGAAAGAAATCGGTTCGGTAAGAGCTGAGAAAAAGTGGTAAAAGACACAAAAAAATAAAAATAAACGCATCTTAGTAAAACCAATACCTTCTCAGCTTCTCATCGAAGCTAAAAGTATAGATGATATCATACAGTGATTAAAATCACTGTCGTAAAAATCGTTTCGATACAAATCTGTAGATAGTGTTTAATTTTAAGAAATTGGTGGATTATTCTAAAATCAAAATTAAGTCCTACTTCCTTTATTATTCCTAATTAGTAGTTTTGTAATTTATAAGTATAATCTATGATTAAATATCTATTAAAGCTATTAAATATTGTTTATTTGTTCTTTTTTGAAAAAGTTATGGTAGTTTTAAGAAAAAAAATGGTGAAATTTACTAATTTTAAAAACTGTAATTTTTTAGGAGATTTTTTTGGAAGTTTCCCTCATTTACGGGTAACTTAAGACATATATAATAGTGTCAGACTTTCTGGAAAACTTTCAAAAGTTAAGTTGAAAAAATTAATTTTTTGTGAAAAAGTTGTCATTTTAAATCCCCGCCTGTGGGCAGGTAAAAAGTTAGATTTATAAAAAAAATATACCAAATGATAGGTAAAAGACATCATGCAACTATAAAGAAAAATTATATTTATTTGTCATTTTTTGAAAAAGTTATGAAAGTTTTAAGTAAAAAAAATTGAAAAAATTATGAAAATTAGTGATTTTTAAATTTGTAATTTTTCGGAGGTTTCCTCCATTTACGGGGAACGAGGAAATTTTTTTCAATTTTTGAGGGTAATGTCTTCTACTAGATACGTTTTGAGATATTATGACGTATCATTGAAAGAAATCGGTTCGGTAAGAGCTGAGAAAAAGTGGTAAAAGACACAAAAAAATAAAAATAAACGCATCTTAGTAAAACCAATACCTTCTCAGCTTCTCATCGAAGCTAAAAGTATAGATGATATCATACAGTGATTAAAATCACTGTCGTAAAAATCGTTTCGATACAAATCTGTAGATAGTGTTTAATTTTAAGAAATTGGTGGATTATTCTAAAATCAAAATTAAGTCCTACTTCCTTTATTATTCCTAATTAGTAGTTTTGTAATTTATAAGTATAATCTATGATTAAATATCTATTAAAGCTATTAAATATTGTTTATTTGTTCTTTTTTGAAAAAGTTATGGTAGTTTTAAGAAAAAAAATGGTGAAATTTACTAATTTTAAAAACTGTAATTTTTTAGGAGATTTTTTTGGAAGTTTCCCTCATTTACGGGTAACTTAAGACATATATAATAGTGTCAGACTTTCTGGAAAACTTTCAAAAGTTAAGTTGAAAAAATTAATTTTTTGTGAAAAAGTTGTCATTTTAAATCCCCGCCTGTGGGCAGGTAAAAAGTTAGATTTATAAAAAAAATATACCAAATGATAGGTAAAAGACATCATGCAACTATAAAGAAAAATTATATTTATTTGTCATTTTTTGAAAAAGTTATGAACGTTTTAAGTAAAAAAAATTGAAAAAATTATGAAAATTAGTGATTTTTAAATTTGTAATTTTTTTGGAGGTTTCCCCCATTTATGGGGAACGAGGGAAATTTTTTCGACTAGATACGATTTGTGATCTTTTGACGTATCATTGAAAGAAATCGGTTCGGTAAGAGCTGAGAAAAAGTGGTAAAAGACACAAAAAAAAAAATAATAAATGCATATTAGTAAAACCAATACCTTCTCAGCTTCTCATCGAAGCTAAAAGTATAGATGATATCGGACAGTGATTAAAATCACTGTCGTAAAAATCGTTTCGATACAAATCTGTAGATAGTGTTTAATTTTAAGAAATTGGTGGATTATTCTAAAATCAAAATTAAGTTCTACTTCCTTTATTATTCCTAATTAGTAGTTTTGTAATTTATAAGTATAATCTATGATTAAATATCTATTAAAGCTATTAAATATTGTTTATTTGTTCTTTTTTGAAAAAGTTATGGTAGTTTTAAGAAAAAAAATGGTGAAATTTACTAATTTTAAAAACTGTAATTTTTTAGGAGATTTTTTTGGAAGTTTCCCCCATTTACGGGTAACGAGGGTAATTTTTTGTGGAATTTTCACTATTTACGGGAACAAGGCCAAATTTATCAATTTTTGAGGATAATGTTTTCAACTAGATAAGATTTGTAATCTTTTAACGTATTGTTAAAAGAAATCGGGTTAAGTGAGTGCTGAGTAACAGACACAAAAAAAAAAAAATTTATTACCATAACATTTAGCTCAACTTGCAAGACATAAAAAAATAAAAAAAAATTATCATGATAAAATTAATACCTTTTCAGCTTCGCATCGAAGCTAAAAAATCTATACTTCTTATGATTATATAAACATTTGGCTAAAAAATGATTAATTTTTCTTATATTTAATAAATTAGTTCATGTATATTAAATTTATTTTTTTTGTATATGATTGTAAAAAAAAAGATTATAGAATCCAATAATATTTTATATTTTCCTTTGAAACCTTGATTGAACTTTAAATTTAATTTTAAACATGATTAATAATCAAAATTATCCAAAAATAATGTAAATCAGTTATTTTCGGGTTATAAATTTATATGGTCCAATTTTTAGTTTGGTTGAGATCTTAAAAGCAATTTCATAATACTTTTGGTTTATAAAATTATTAACCTAACTAATTCTCGGAATAAAAATCGATGTATGTCAATTAACTTATTAGATATGGTCAAAATGTTTGAAAAACTGAATTCATTTTAATTCCTAGGTCTTCTTATAAAAATGAGTTTTTGGACTATTTAACTGAAATATTATGTTTTGATAAGAATACAAAAATGGGATATTTTTTTATTCTCCTGAAGAAAGTCTAAAAATTTAGTGACATGTTTTTCCGCAGTTACAACAATGTATATTTTATATTAAAATACTTTAATGTTAACTTATTTTATAGCATTGTTTTATGTAACAGCTATGACCGACAATACGATAATCATTCAATAATAATAATATTTGATAATTCTTAAATATTTAGTAGTTTATACTAAAAGTAAAAAAATATTTGAAAATGTCCAACACTGAATTCTACATTCAAAAATCAATACTAATTCCAAAAGTTACTTTGATCTTTATAATAATATGATATATTATATCTCATATATTATTCAAATGAATATGGTTATCTAATAAAACTTATATATTAAGTATTATTATATAATATTGGAATACATATACACTTCACATTCTGTTTTGTTTAAAATTGCAATAATTAAAATGCATTACAATTTTTTAAAATTTATTAAAAATTAGATAATACTAACTTGTTGTAGACATTTTCTGAGCAATCTGATCTAAATATGAATAATTTTCAGCATTAATTTCAATCACAATAAATGAACAGTATAATAATAGTTGACATATTAAATTCATTTTTTTTAAGTCTGAAAATATTTTGTTTTAATTAATGATATATGGTAGACACGTCTGGCCGTTAAAGATTTTTCTAACACTATTTATCAGTTATAATGCGTCCATAATTTCCTTAATAATAGCTTTCCAAAAATATACACCATAAAAAAAAAAGAGTAAATATAAGAATAATTAAATAATATAAGATTTATTACAATTAAATAATTAAATAATATAAGATTTATTACATTTAAATAATTAAATAATATAAGATTTATTACAATTAAATAATAAAATACTATTATTTATTCAATTGTTTATTATGAATCTGTTTATTCGAAAAATATACTTTATTAATAGAAAACTGTTAATTTTTCAAATGTTTTATTCCTGAAATTTTAAGAAAATTAATCCATGTGCTAGTAAATTTTTGCACCCGGATTTTGTTTATTTATATGGGGTGTATGTAAATGGTTCTAAATAATGTGGTCATAATAGAGAAATAAACAATGTGACTTAGAGGAAGCTAGGGATTAAAAAACATTATGACGAAAATAATTTAAGATACAATACGTAATGGGTTTTAAGTTTTTATGACCCTCCTTATTTAAAAAATTCTAAACACACGCCGCTGAAATTTACACTAAAACAGCTGAATACTAAAATAAGTATTAAAACATTTATTCTTATAAGTTTGAAAAATAAATATCACAAATTTAAAATAAAATGATGATGTATGCCATTGAAGACGTAGCTTGTGCTCGCTAACTTTTTTTTTATGCAGTTAGGCTGGTATTTATGTATGTAATGAGTGAAATAAAATTATTCATTAATCTTTAAGATTTAGTACTTTTATTTTTCGGCAATTATAACCATTATATAACCAATTAAACAAAATAAAATTTTTAATTAATGTATTGTGATGGTGCCCCGTTACCATTATTGTGAGAATTTATTATAATAAAATACAGACAGCACATCCGCTTCCTGAGACTGATTAATTAACAATTAACATTTATTGCTAAATTGGCAATAGTCCAACTTATTATAAAAACCCAAAAGACCTGGCCATCTTGGTCATTCGACTCAGTGCTTTGTGTCATTCATCAGTCTCAGTACTCGGTTGTCGCTGTCCGGCTTACTGCTTAAAGTAAAGCCTTTGTTTTTCCTTTTTAACCTATCTACTCTCTTCCCCAACATTTCAGAGTACTTGTGTTTTGCACATCGTCTGCACCTCGTATTTGGTTATACTCCTTACCTGATACGCCTAGTATTTGTGTCTTGCACTTCGTCTGCACCTCATACCTAGGTGTTACCCTTATTCCCTTTCTATAACAACAGCCTTTTGACACCCAAAGCTAACCCGGAGTGTCGGCCGAGCACCGTGACTGCTGTACGATAACACACACGTGAATACCTAGACAGCAGTCCTATTCTCATCACCTTCTTCGTACGCCTTACTTTCTGTTTAGTGTTACGACAGTATTTTGAATATACATATAAGGGTTGATAAAAAAAAATCGATCATTAAAATTTTAATGAGAACCCTTTTAACTGTATTATATACATTAAAATAGACATTTTGTGGAGATTTGAGATTTTTCAAAATTTTTTTAATGATTACTCTACGTGTTTTAAGTATTTTGACCAAAATTACCCTAAGAAAAAAAACCTACTTCTGTTATTAAATTTTTCTTCAAACATTATGACAATTATATCAAAATAGTTTTCACTGTAGAATACAATTTGTTTAGTTTCAAATATATTGGTGTCGATCACTTAATAAAATATTATCACTCGAAAAAGGTATTCTAACAAACATATTTTTTGTGTTTAATTTTTTGCAATTAAAACAATTATTTAATCAATTAAACTGTTAATTATGGTAGTAGTTGTATAAATTGTTTTAATCTTCTAAGGAAAAAATGAATAATTTTAAATGATATTACTATCGAAATTTGAATAACATAAATTAATTTTTTTTAATATATGTGTGTAAAAATATGTTATAATGAAATTCTAATTCCCAGAGTGAATATTTCAAGACTTAATATTTAAACGTTGGTTATCTTAATATATATGACGGGTCGGGGTTTTACTTGACACTCGTATAATAAACTAAAGACATTTATTCTATTCTAACTAATGACACGATTCTATTACGTATATATATATATTAATTAAACCTATTATATATAGTAAAACATTAACATAAAAAGAAAAGGAGTAACCCAGCCATCTAACACTTCATCCGCCACGTGATAATGCGATGCTTAGAGCTCTTCACAACGAATACTTCTTGGACGACGTTAACAACCATGCGTGTCACGATAAATTTCCCAGCAACAGGACCAAACAACAGAAGAACACCACCGGTGTTTGAACGCTAATAATATCAACTCCAAAGGTGGATTGAGTATTTAATAAAACGTACGTTGCCTATACAGGCCGACACGAACCCAACGAAGAAAACTACACCAGATCACTGGCCCGAGTGATTAGACTCAACGGTACGATATAACGTCAACCGCGAACATGAACGTAATGACAGCAAGGTGCCGGACACGATTGGTATCATTACAATGAGAGGGGTAATGAGCGATTTCAAGCTATGTGGAGCTTGACCGGGCTACACGCATAACTTATGGACAATGTGTTAGTTTTGTAGCAGATTTAATTACGTCGTGTCGTAATATAATCGTCACTATTATTTATACGATACAACACTAAAATATCCTGTTCATGTACTCAACAATGCTATCTTTTTAGTATTTATTAGTATATTCTTTTTTCATTTCAAATAGTCACCATTTCTATCCATAGAAATGGTACATTTTAACTTGTTTCATTATACATTATATTCTTACAAGGACAAGATCTCTTTCGAACAAAAACTTAGATAAACATTTAAGAGAAATAGTCAAAAAACTCACACTGTTTGGCTACATTGTAGTGTATGTGGTCATAAATCAATAAATAATTACTTTTAAAATCCTTCCTCACCAAAAGAAAATCTATATATTATTTTTGTCATCTTTATTATTATACTATTAATAGTTAAATACATTGTATTAATTTTTCGTTTTACTTGTAAAAAAAAAACATGTTAATGTTATATATGTAAATGTCAAAATAATTTTTGTTCTATTCATCTGTATTGAGGGTAAAAAATTTCCTCGTTACCCGTAAATGGGGGAAACTTCCAAAAAAGTTCATTTCGTGCTCCGTATTGGGCTGTTCTTTTTGTGGTCCGTATTGCGCTGTTTTTATCGTGCTCCGTATTAAGTTGTGCGAACGTCGTGATAGTCATTGTCGAAATTTTATGTGTTAATTTGTGAACTAAAAATCTGAACTTGTGTATTNGTCATTGTCGAAATTTTATGTGTTAATTTGTGAACTAAAAATCTGAACTTGTGTATTTTATTTATCATTTTCACCAATATCATCATTAAGGATATTATAAGAACCAGAGAATTTACCAGGTAAGATTTTTTAAATCCATAAGAAAATTTACATAGTTATTTTATGACAATCGAATTACACCACGAATCAAAAGTAACTCCCACTCACATTTTTTTAAATTCCAACAACTATTATTATTCTGATCTTTTTCCTTTAATATTTTAGCTTCGATGCGAAGCTGAGGAGATATTGGTTTTACTAAGATGTGTTTATTTTTTTTTGTGTCTGTTACCACTTTTACTCAGCTCCTACCGAACCGATTTCTTTCAATGGTACGTCAAAAGATCACAAATCGTATCTAGTCGAAGAAATTACCCTGAAAAATTGAAAAAATTTCCCTCGTTCCCCATAAATGGGGGAAACCTCCAAAAAAATTACAAATTTAAAAATCACTAATTTTCGTAATTTTTTCAATTTTTTTTACTTAAAACGTTCATAACTTTTTCAAAAAATGACAAATAAATATAATTTTTCTTTATAGATGCATGATGTCTTTTACCTATCATTTGGTATATTTTTTTTATAAATCTAACTTTTTACCTGCCCACAGGCGGGGATTTAAAATGACAACTTTTTCACAAAAAATTAATTTTTTCAACTTAACTTTTGAAAGTGTTCCAGAAAGTCTGACACTATTATATATGTCTTAATTTAAAGCTAATGTAATTTACTTTATTACGAAAAAAAAAAATTTCAGACTTTATTTTGTCTTCACCATGAAAATGGCTACCGAATCTCGTTTTTATTTTTTACATTTTAAACTTTATAATGCTATAACTAATTGAAAAGTGTATGGATCAACATAATTTTTTTTTGAGAAATAATATTTTTTAATATTCCCTTTATCATTTGACATATTTTATCTTAATCAGGATATTAATAAGGAACTAGCAGATCATGTAGCTTTTGGAATAATCCATCAATTTTTTTTAGTTAAACACTATCTAAAGGTGTGCATCGAAGCTTTTTTTTTATAGTGATTTTAATTACTGTCAGATATCATTATACTTGATCCAACTATGCCGCGACCCCCCTGTGCTCGGTTTTTTTTATATATTTTTTATTATATTTTTGAGTTACGACAGTCGATAAAAAAACTTTTTTACAAATGTTATTCTTATTTGTTGTTAATCTAACCTTTTATAATATAGTTTTATACAATAATATGTATAAAAATAAGTATATAATATATACTTATTTTTACATATATATTATATGTGTTGGGAATAGTAAATCAGAAAATACATTTTGCAGCAATATTTTTGTAAAAAATGAAGTAGCATAAAATTGTTACTAACATTTTCTTAACACAAAAAAAAAAATTATTTTAAATTTAGAAAAAATATGTTTGCTTAAACTTCTAAACATGCTATATATTTTCAATAAAACTAAATTTATAACCATCATGGAAGTTTTTTTTCGAAAATTTATGTTAAAATAATTTATTATAACTTGGAACAGAAAATACTTATTAATAAAAATACTTGTCTAGTTTATATTTAATATGTAACACGTATGAACGCTTTTTAGATGTACTTACTTGGGCTCTAAGTATAGATTGGAATTTTTTTTTTAAGTTTTTTTAAGAACCGGATTTGACATAGAAAATATAGAAACCCCAAATTTAATCTTATT